CCTTGAAGCTGTAGCTCTCTGGCTTCCCTCTTACGCTCCGAAAGGCACCATTCGACAGCCTCTTTCGGATCGGCGAAACCGTGCAACGCTGCAACCCTATATATGTTTAGGGACTCAGGGGCTTCCAGCCCGTCGGTGGCTCCGATAGGCGCCCCCCCTGAACCAGAATGATCTCTCAACTTCCCCACCCACTGGGCTCGGACATCCAACGACGGAGTGACGTCCGATTCGAGCCTGAGAGGCGGGGATTCAGTTCAGCTCGGATGCAAGCCTCTCCGAGGCCTGCTCCTCTGTGTGGCGCGAGCCCGCTGTGCGCACTCCAAGTGCACACCGCGGCGAGACCCGTCCCTGGCCTGACGTTTTTCTGCACGCTGGTGCCGCAAGCAGTGCAAAACAAGACTGGGGGCTCGCATGGGGAGCCATGCGCCGAGGCCTGCACGATCTCGTGCCCCTGAAGAAGCCAAGGCTGCGGCCGCCCGCCGTCGCTCCCAGCGGCAGAGCTCGGCTCCGACGCGGGGGCGTCGCTGGCCGCGGTTTCAGCCGCACCCGGGGACAGCTCTGGAGGGAGGGCAGTGCCAGTCTGGAGCCGAGTCCTCTGCTCGCAGTGCCGCTCCCAGTCGCTGGCCTCGACGGGATCGAGGCGAGAGGGATCGAGCTCGAGGTCCAGCACGACGTCGGCAGTGCCACCAACGCCATCTCAGTCTTGAAACCCGACCTGGTGGAGCCACTCATGGAGCTTGCCCTGCTACGCAGCGGCGTCCTCTACCCTGCGCTCGCAGGCTTCCACTACAACTCCCTGCTCTTCGGGGACCCCCCAAAGCTGAGCACCCGTCTTGGCCCAGGCATCTGCGAAGCGATTCCCCCAGAGCTTCCACAAGTCCTCCACCGAGGTGGCGTCCTGGAGGGCACGGTGGGCCTTGCCCTTCACGACCGAGGCCGACGCTCCGATTTTTTCCCACCAAAGCTTTTAATCATGGCGCCGCTCGTTCCTAGGGTCGAGAGCTCTGGCGGAACTCCGAGCGCAGCTCACGGATCCAGCACAGTCATTGAACACCTCAAGCAGCACACTGAGATTCCCGTCACACGGGGATCCGAGAATCGAGCCAGCATGTGAGAAGCATAGTCCTCGCCGTCCCGCGCCCACTGCTCAGGCCCCCACACCCTCGGAACAACCCCATTCATGCAGACTACAAAATTGCCGGCCTGGTCCACCTGCACAGCAGCCCAACCCCCGTGCCTGCAAGAGCCGTGCATGGTGCCGAAGGCAGATCCGTCCACGAAGATGGCCCCTCCCCAGCGCCACCCAGGATGGGCGCCCACAAACCTGAGCCAGTGCTCCTCGGGGGCCTCCGGCCGGCCGAACACACGCCTTCGGGGGGGGGGGGGGGCAAAAGGCAACGCGAAAAGAGCTCAGCCTTGTCAGCGCCAAGCATGCGCCTCTGTTGGCAGCGACGCCAAGAGGCTCAGAGATATCCGTGCTCCGGAAGCTGTCCGAGCACGGGCAGTCGAATCCCTTGTGGAAGAGCTTGCCTGCACAGCCGCACATGTTACACCGACATGAGACAGACCGCCCGCTCCTGCGACCAATGGATCCCCGAAATCAGGCTACGAATGAGGTTCCTGGCGTGCCGGCTTAGTCCAGACGTGGACTTCTCGAACAAAACCCGACCAAGGGGCCTCCTTTTCAGTTCAGAACGCCAGCGCTGGTATCTACTGGTGGACACCAGATCGTTGGCAGCGACAGCCATGGCCTTCGCTGCCGCCACCGCTCGACCTGGAGAAAAGAGCAGCAGGTCGACCACCTCTTGCCCGTCGGCCCGACCAGCTCCGTGGCTGACCGCATGCTGGCTCCAATCCTGGCTAGCACGAGTTGGAGTACTTGGGCGGGGTTTCTGCACCGACCATAAGGAGCCTTCGACTGCAGGATGCCCCGAGACCGCTCCAGAACGGCTTCCAAGACCGATCGGGCAGGAAGCGAGGTCTCGACGCACATGGCCCACGCATGCACAACTTCTCCCACGTGGACCACTGCTGGATCCCTCCAGCACGCTCTGTACAGCGAGCGCAGCCTCAGACCAACATTCGCGCCTGCGGGAAGCCGGCCTGCCGCGCGAAGGGCGCCGACTCGTAGCCCATGGGAGCTCGTGGTCAGCCAGCCCTGTGACGGCCGCGCCCCAGACCGCAGCGGCGGTTGGGGAGCCGCGTTGAATGCGCTCCACCGCCGCACCAGCTCCCCGGAGCACATGGACTCGCTTGGCCGCGCCATGCGCCTTGGCCAGGCGCTCGCCCTGGTCCGCGACGGACCGCTTGACGCCGTCGGAGCCGTCGCCACCGAGGCATCGCACACCTCGGCTCCTCTCGATCTCGCCAGCCCAGGCGGCCTCGAGGCGGCCTGCGAGCTCGCGGTGGGCCGTGAGCCAGCCGGTCTTGCCCCAGTTGACCCTGCAGCTTCCGAGCCTGCAAGCCCTCCACCACGAAGGCCAAGGCGGCGGGCCGAGCGCCTGCAGCAGCTGGTCATCCACCAGCGACAGCGCCCGAACTCGGGGGAAGCGCCGCGCCTGCTCCACCAGGAGCGCGTGGACCATAAGCCTCGCGAGCCCCAGCGCGCAGAAGCACCCGGCGGCGAGCGTGCCGTTGGCCCAGATGGCGATGCCGAGGGCGCCTGCGAACTTTGCGCGTTTGGGCTTGCGGCAAGCGGTAGGCGCAGCACAGCGCCTTCAGCAGCGGCAGCGGGAAGTGCGTGGCCCGCGCTTCCCTCAGCAGGGTGCCGTGGGAGACGTACTCGTAGTACTTGCTTAGGTCGAGGGCCGCGGTGCTTGCCGCCATGCCTTCCTGCTGGTCGCAGAAGGCGGCCAGCAGGTTGTGGACGTGTTCTGCTCGGTCGCACGTATTGTCGGCTCCTCCGCAGTAGAAGCTGCTCTCCAGCCCGCGCCCCCGCTCCGCCACCAGCGGCTGCCGCATCCTCGACCACAGCCGCAGCCAGATGCCATTGAGGATGATGGGCCTCACTCCGCCCGCTGGCAGCGCCTTGGGCCAGAAGCCGACGAGCACCAGCCAAAAGGCGAGCTTCTGGCGGGCGAGGGCTCCCAACACCTCAGCACGTCCAGGAACCGCTCCTTGTACCTGCGCGGCGGCCACCGCAGTTGCCGAGAGTGGAGCGGGTCCCAGCCCAGCCCTGCCTTCTCGCCGCACATGTCGACGGCTGCGTCCAAGTCGGCCACCTGCAACCGCGGCAAGCTAGAAGCGTGGGACTCCCGGCCCGTCCACTCCCGCGGGTGGACTTCGTCGGCGCGGTCTGGGTTGACCCACAGCGGCTCCCACTGCCGCATGAGGAACTCCATTGCTGCGTCCCCGCCGAGCGGGAGGACCAAGCCCGAGTCGTCGTCGAGCGTCTCGATGACCGCGGGGCGCACTTGGGCGGTACGCACGTATGCGGACGCCTGCTGGCCCCCCGTGGCGGACCCCGCCTCCTTGGCCTAGGGCTGCCACTGGGCCCGCTGCTGGTGCTGGTCCCGCCTCCGCAAGCTCAACACATGGTCGCCCATGGCCTGAAGGAGGTACGGCGAGGCGGAGGCCGAGTCGCTGCCGAGCACCTTCAGCAGCTTGTCCACCGACATGTTGGCCAACACGCCCGACTGCGGCCACCAGCCGCCTTCGACCGCGAACGCGGTGATGACCTGCAGCTGCTGGTTGAGCGCGGAGTACCTCAGCCACCCCTTGCTGCGCATCACAGCCTGGAGGGAGGCGGCCCGCTGGCTGGCCGCAAGCAGCCCAGCCAAGCAGCGGTACTCTGCCGAGGTCCGCGCCTTCAGCTGGCTCTGCCACTCCGTGGCGAAGGGGACTCGCTGCTCTCGGAGGCCCAGACAGCGTCCCTCCCTGCGGCCTCCGCAGCCGTGCAAGCAGGACAAATACTCCTCGGCCCTCTTGAACCATGCCTGCGTCGCAACGTGCAGGTCTCCAGGGAGGCCGCCGGCTTCCCAGGGCCACGCTCCGTCGCCGACCTCCTGAGGGGCGGCGCGCGTGGGCGGCGGCAGCACGATGGGATAGGCCACGGGGAGCACGGCTCTCCTGACCTTGGCTTCCGCGTGGAGTCCGTGAAGCCGCAACCGCACTGGCGCGTGCGCGCGAATGGCTGTCACTTCGACCACGTCGACGTTGCGCACGAAATTCCCCAGCACGCGCGACACCACGAAGAAGTCCAGGACCTTCTCCCCGAATGTTGGGCTGTCAGGAGCCACCACCACGCCATGGACTAGACGGGCCCACTCCTGGACCTCCGAATGCTCCCCAAGTTCCAATCGCCGCCCACCACCCAGGGCCCGCTGAGACCAGCAAGCCCCGCCAGGAGCCGCTCTAGGTGGGAGAGGTTCGGCTCCGCCAGCCCGACCTTCGTGGTGAGGTAGATGCTGATGCAGTGCAGCGGTACACCCAACCCGGTGTTCACCACTCCGACCTGGCAGCGGCCACGAGGCAAGGCGTCCTGCAGCGCCGCAAAACCATCCAGAAGCGGCAGGGGGCTGAGCACTGCAACCCCACTGGACGACTCGTTCGCCTCGCCGCCCCTGGACTCCGCCTGGCCGAAGACAGAGTTCAGGCCCCCCTTCGAAGCCCACCTCCGAGCCGAGTCCACCAGGCGCGGCTCCTTTCAGAAAGCGAAAACCCACCCCCACCCCCAGTCCCGGCGCCCACCCCCGAACCCGCGACTCAAGGAGTCGGGACTGGGGGTGGGGGTGGGTTTTCTCCACTCCTGGACCCCGAAAACCCACCCCCACCCCCAGTCCCGACTCCTTGAGTCGCGGGTTCGGGGGTGGGCGCCGGGACTGGGGGTGGGGGTGGGTTTTCGCCTTCTCATCCTCGAGGCGGTGCTCCCGCAGCAGCACCACGCGGGGCGCGGAGGGCGCGCCCCCGCCGCCTCCAGCGCTCCGGCACTGGATGCCAGGGGCCGCCGAGGCCGATGCCAGGGTAGCGTCGGGAGAGCTCCCAGCGCCGCTGGCAGCACCCGAGCACGGCGCGGCAGACGAAGAGGACGAGCCTGGACACCACGCCGGAGATACCGGCCGAGCGGCACGATCTCCGACGTCAGGACGGTGCGGCCCATCCCGACCTGCACCTGCAGCCACGCGCCCCACCAGCAGGTTCTGGGCCGAGGACCAGGCCGTGACGTCAGCGGTCAGGATCTCGAGGTCCGAGACCCGCTGCGAGCTCCCGCTCGCGATGGCCTGGCTACCCCAGCCGCGGTTTTATGCAGGCGAAGAGCACAGCCTGGGCCCGCTTGACTTTCTCCCTGTCGGCCGTGTTGGACGAAGCCAGCCTCATTGAGCTTGCTTGCAAGCTCTGGGTCGTCGAGGTCCACGTCGAATGCGCCATCGTCGACGGCCATATCAGCGCCAGGACGCCGCCGCGCAGGACAAGAAGGGTGCTGCAGCAGGAGCTTCAGCACGCGCTGCTGGGCGACCCACTGCTCGGCCTCTCGGAGGCTCCGCGGCGGGCCATCGCCCTCAAGATTGGTGGTCCTCAGGCTGAGGAGGAGGAGCAGCAGCCTGCGGACCTCCATTCCAAGGGGCTGCAGGACCTGCACCAGCGCATCAACAAGCGGGAGAAGCAGGTGGACAAGACCACCGAGCGCGTGCCGGCAGGCGCGCGGGGCCGCAGATGCGGCGGCCAAGGTGCTCAAGGCCGAGCAGGCGCTGCTGGACCGGCACAAGGCGTCGCTCGCAGAGAGGCCCGCGGCTCCACTGGCCCATGGGCCTGGCATCGCTCGGACGTGTGCACTTTTCCTTCGGCGAGGACCATCGAGGAGCATCCTTGATCTTTTGGCGAAAAAGCCACGCATGAAAACGAACAAAAACGCAGGAAATGGACGTCCGAGCGATGGCCAGCGGGGAGGCGGCAGAGGCCAGGACGGTGGCTCCTGCGCCCCCCGGCGCTCGAGGGCCTTAAGAGCGCCCAGGGCGGGGCTGTCTGCCCGCAGCGCCGACAGGGCGTCCGCGGGCCCCGAGTGCGTGTGCCCCCCGCAGGAGCCCGAGCAGCGCCACTGGCGCGGCGGCCAGCTGTGCGGCCCTAACGGCCTGCGGCGGCATCGGGGCGGACCGAGACGGCAAGGCGCGAAGAGAGGCTCTGGACCGCTGCGCCACCTTCCAAGTGCGCGACCCAACAGGTATCTCTCCAGAGACCCGGAAATGGCTGGGAGGAGGAGGAGGAGGAGGAGGAGGAGGAGGAGGAGGAGGAGGAGGAGGAGGAGGAGGAGGAGGAGGAGGAGGAGCGAGAGGACAGGCGCGGCTTGGTTGCAGCAGCCGGGAGCAGCCCCCTCTACAGGCGCTGTCGTTCGCGGCCGGGCCCCTCAGCGTCGCGGCCCTCTTCTTCGCGGTGCGCGCCTGCGCGCGCAGGAGAGCGCCGCGCGTGCAGAGTTGGACCCCCCCGTTGGGTCGAGGATCGAGGATCGAACTTTTGCGGGCGCTATCGCGGGCGAGGGTCGAGGATCGAGGATCGAGTTTACGTGGGCCCTTTCGCTTCTCTCCTCCTCCCTGGCGGGGGCGACGGTGGAGGAGGGCGGGGGATGGGGTGCAGATTCGATGGGATATTCTGTGTGGTTCGCCGTTGGCTTCTTCCGCCTGTTCTCTGGTTCCAGAGCCTGACCTAAGCGGTGCACAGGGTTGTATCGAGATGTACCGCACACGTTTAAATTGGTACTGCGGAGTTGTGCGGAATCCGAACTCTCTTGCGGTCGCAGAGGACTCGGACCAGCGCGATGGCGACTGTATCGGGTGATGGCAAGACGGTGAAGAAGTTCACTGGCGACCATCCTGAGGAATACCAGCTATGGAAACATGACACGAGGCTGGCTGTTTTCGAAGAGCGTGAACGACGATACAGTTTGCAGCGGGCGCACCAGCAGTGCCATCAGCTGCTGCCCGGGGTCTTGGCACGTCGCCGGCGCGACAAAGGCGGCAGCCTCGACCGCTGGCGTGAATTGGCGGAGCCTGGGCTCACGTTCGTGATCAACACTCCAGCCTCTGAGCACGAGGTGATCGCCACGCAGCTGTCGTCGGTCTCGACGCTGCCCGGGCATGTGGCGCAGCACCCGCGTGTTCTACCCGTTCCAGAGGCCTGGCTGTGGCAAAGCCGCCTAGACAAAGGGGAGCCCTTCTTCGACCAGCTGCCTCGCGGCGGCCTGACTGCGTGGGCACCGACGTCGACAGCAGCCCTGGGACGGCTGCACTCGCTCCTCCTGAAGACCCCACCGGACACCTTTGCAGGGCGCCCGCTGCGTCTTCTGGTCCCCATGGAGGTGCTTCCGGGCTGCACGACTTGCGGTGCCATCCGTGACTTGTTCTGGCACGCTTTCATGGGCGAGAGGTGGGCGCCGGTGGTGCGCGAGCAGGCCTTTGTTACGCAGCCGTTACAGATGGTTCTCCCCGGTGCTGGCGGCCCCTTGCATGCCTCGCGAGGGCTCTTTATCGCAACGCTGTCCACGCACATGCCCATGCAGATCCCCAAGGTGCTTTCGGTGGCCGAGCCGGTGGCGGTGCTGCACCAGGGGCTGTCCCTCTTCGCAGACTGTCCGTCCATGCTCCTTCCGCAGACCATCCAGACGGTCCTGGAGATGGGCAGCGCCCTCGGGGTCAGGTTGGGCAGGCACTTGCGGAGCCCTGGGTCGGCTCCAGATTTACCCCGGTCTCGCGTCGAGTTCCTGCTGCCCCGTCGGGGCGTCACCGAGATGGGGATGCAGTTGTTCATGCGGGACCTCAGGCAGACGCAGATCGGCCGGGAAGTGCTCCTGGCGGACAGGACCATCTTCAGCGATAATTCGGCGCTCATCATGGAGATGTCATCTCCGTCAGCCTTGTCCAGGGTCTGGCACCTCTGTGACGAGGCGTTGTTTCTCAAGCCCCGGTTGGCCACTATTCGCACGTCGGCGCAGCAGGACGTGTGGCAGGACATAGTGGCGAAGCTCTGGGTGGAGGACAAGGATGCGGCCGTGACCAAAATCCGCTGGAGGCCCTCCAGGCAGGGCGGCAGGGCATGGGCTACCCCAGAGGCCACCCCCTCTAGCCTCCGGGCCGCGCTGCGCCCGGCCGCGGCCCGGGCAGCCTCGACGGCAGACGGTCCCACGTCCGCGGAGCTGAACGTCGACGGCTCTCCGGGCTACGACCCCCAGTCCGTGATCAGCCCAATCCTGGCGGTGGTTCAGGCCCAGACTGGCGTGGCCCTGACACCGGCGGCCTCAGCGGACACTCTAGTGCCAGGGTCGTGGCGGCGCTTGGCCGACGATGACCCCTCCGTGGCTCCAGGGAGGGTGCGTCTGCATCTGCGTGGGATGGCAGATGCCCAGGCGGTCAAGCAGGCGCTGCACGGCAAGGCTGTGCTCATGGGCGAGGACCTGGTCTCCATCACGGTCTCGCCAGAAGAGTCCGCTGGCCAGCAGCGTGCGCGCAGGGCTGGGGGTGGTGGCGCAGCAGCCTCAGCCAGCGCCGTGTGACGCCAACTTCAGCCCAGCGGGGCGGCCACCGCTGGGCGTAGAAGTGCAGCGGCCAGTGCATGCATAATTGAGGTCATCGAGTCTGACGGCATCAGTTGTTTCTTCTTAGATTTGGACCTTCACGTACGTCGTCTTGCTCTCCGGGATGATGTTCCCCTCTGTTTTCGATCTCATGACTTTCTCCCACATGCTTCAGTACCTCCAGTTCCATCGTTGCCCCCGCCAGGGGCCGCGCATTTCGACGAGGCGGTCGCGCAGCTAGGGCGTATCCCACTGCTGCCGCCAGCGAGCGCGCCCCCCCGTCTGCCGAGGGCTCGCCGCGCTGCGCCGCCGCCGCGGGAGCCGCCAGCTCCAGTGCATGGTGCCGCGGCCTTGGCTGCTGCGCACTCCGAGCGGTTCCCGTTCCTGGGGGATCTTTCGGGCGCGTGCTGGAATGCTCAGGCTCTCTTCGCCCGACGTCGACGGCGGCACGTTGACAAGGATAGGTATGTGCGCCGGCTTCTCAGGAAGCGGGACTTCGTGACGATATCCGAGGCTCACTGCTTGGAGGGAACGGCTGCTGCGTGGAGTTGCCCCTCCGACTGCAGGAGTTGGTTTTCGCCTGGCACTTCCCGCAGAGCCGGCGTTGGCGTCGTCGTTAAGCGGCAGTTCCTGGACCAGTTCGACGAGAGCCCCCTTTGGATCGAGACGGTCCCTGGCCGTGCTGCGGTGTTGCAGCTCCGGGGCCAGTCAGGGGCACTAGATTTACATGTTGTCTATTTCGCCACGGGCGTGAATGGCATGGTGATCCCTCGTGGCGCCGCGCTGCCTGCCGACGAAGTCGATGCGGCGGTCGGCCTGCAGCGGCGGCGAATGCGGGAAGCACTTGCTGCGAAGATCGCCCCGGCCAGCGAAGTACTCTCCGTCATCACGGGCGACTTCAATTGGGCCGCCTGCGGCGAGGACCGCGTGTCCAAGGCCACCAGGGAGAACGCGGGCCACGCCGATGCTGCTGAGGAGAGGCACGCCGAGGATATCTTATGGCGACCTCATGGGTTTTACGAGCTCCGGCAGGACGAAAAAAGGATTCGACCATTCTTGCACTACTGGACGGATCTGCCCTGAACATGTGCGATGACATCGACGGATTTTCGACGACCGTTACCCCGAGAAACCCGCCCCTGAGAAGGTAGCCGAGGTCATGAGGAGGTGCTTGTGCTTCCGACCAGAGCTCGCTGAATGATCATGGAAACCGAACAGGAGGGCGTGATATTACTCGACATCGTTCGGGGAGTGCGGCTCCTAGGCGGCGGTCGCCTGGAAGTGGAGAAGGAAGCCGTGGTGATAGCGGTGGTGGGCAGATCGTTCTCAAAGTTAGACGTGGCAGGCGCCCTGAAAAGGGTGCCTACCACAGCAATCGCGGACGAATGCTTGGCGGCGCAGGTCGTCGGGTGTATTTTGCAGGGGGCGGTGATTGTTGCCCGACGCAAATAGGATGTCAATGTCGCAAGTTTGGCCACCACAGGAGGGGGCGTCGTGAACTACAACCGCCCACGGGCAGCGGGAGCGCCAGCTCAAGCTCAGCCGGGGCGATGCGCCCCAAACAAGGGGGCATTGTTCGTGGGTTTCGCTGTCGGCAA